CTTCTCCTCTAATCTCAGGAGATTGTTTACCTAAGTGACCTTGATGATAATAATGCTATTCTTATTTTTCATTGATAAGTTCCTTCACACTGAAGGGTGAAAATCTGAACCACAGAATACTTGTCAATAGTCTTCAAATATACTAAGACAATCCTTTTGGTAGTAAAACGAGAGGATAAAATTCCTATAATCAAATTCAAGAAAGGAAAGACCCGTTGTTTTCTGTCTGTAGTAACAAGCAAATGCTAGAGCAGGTCTCGTTGTAGCAACGATGTTTCCACAGCCACGTGTCAATGAATCCCTAAACCGCCTGCTTTTCAAAATCTGCCAACTGTGTACTCCATGCTTCCCCCAAAGCTGTGCAAGATCAGCAGACTTCTTTGCTGAGAGACTCTGCACTCCAGGTGGTAATCTCTTTTGTGGCAAAAAAGAGGTTCACAGTTTTGACTTAGATATTGAGTGATAACCTCTTACTTGCAACAAAAGGAAAGCAGATTCACATTTCATGTCATCTGGAAATTTTGACAATTCACTCAGTTTATCAACGAAATGCAACCAATTGCAGTGACATGAAACGAATATTATCAGAAACTCCTCTTAGGTTGCTAGAAAACTCACCTTTCATGAAGGAGGCTGAGGCCACTATCTTCATTATCTGTTGGGTGGTGTTGGTGACAGGCGTGTATGCAATAGCAAATTTAGATGCGCTAAATGAATCTACCCGTCCCAGGTCCATGGGAGGCAGGGAAGAAAAATCGTTAACTTGATGAATGTCAGGGTATAAGTACAAAGAAAGTAGCAGGAACAATGCATTCAGCCATTCCTATACAATTCAAGAGAAAACATAAAGAAAATTATGATGTCGGTGTAGTCATCCACAGTCGTTTGGTCACAGTTTGTCTCGTTGCTCACTTTTCTAATTTCAATATGTTCCACATTATGACTTGTTTAAAATATGAAAAGAACAAAATTCAGCAGTCTGAGTAATTCCAATGAACTATTCATAGGAATTCAAATTTATTCATCCACAGCACCAGTCTAAAGCATGCACTGATCTTAAGAATATGAGAGGTAACAGTGGCAAACTGTTACAAAAGATCATCCGCTGGTATCACCTGGTAGTTGATTCTGCTGAAAGCTTATGTGCTGTGACACAGTTCCAAGGTACTGTTCGCTTAGTAATAATATATGGCTTACATGCCAAGATTCCAGTATTGGAAATGAAATACAATGTAGGTGACCTGAGAAACACGGTCTTGGTTAGTTACCAATAGTGGTCACTTGGCAAACCTCCAATAAAAAATCACTTGTTTCCTAAATGCAGGATTGCAGGAAAAATTCACAATAGATACACTGTAAAATTCCAATTTAGTTAAAAATGCTGTTTAGCGGTAGCTATCTGATTTTAAAAAGCATCTCAAAGTCCATGACCAGGATTTTTGTTATATGGTATCATAGGAACTAATGCTAATTTTTCTTCTTGGCACTGATTACATTTCTAAACTTTTTAAAAACTATTTTTGAAGAGAATGGTGCATTTTTCAAAACAGAAAGAGATTCAAAAGAGAAAAATGCCAGTTACCTATTTCGGTGGGTTGATCTGTTTACTAGACCCTCAGTGCCTTAACCTGAGTATCCATGAATGGGAACACTAGTAAAAAGCAAGACCACTGACTTTTAAAACATTCATCATATATTTTATTGCTGTCTAGCGTCAGTGCTTTTAGACCTCAACTTATGGGCCTGTGCCAAGTGAAACATCTTCAGACAAATGAACAGTTTGAGAAACAGCTTCTGTGGTATGAAGGTATTTCATTCTTTCGGAGAGGAGACAAAGCACAAATACCTCCCAAGGAATATACCTCTGTCATAAATACAAAGTGACATAGATGTTGAATCATACATACTATTAAAGTCTCTCTTTTCATTCTCCATTTTTTAAGAAAGTTCTTGCATAGTAAGGCCCAGGTTTGCTGACACACACTCATCTCTCTGTTACTCATTTTGCCCTGTTTAATAAGAAAGGAAGAAGACAAAACAAATGTGAAGGTCTTAATAAGAGAAAAAATATCCTGAAAACAAAACAAAAAAAGAGTAGCCCGGTAACTGCCGGGTTCCAAGTGAGTGCCGAGAACCTGGGTGTTCCAGGGTTGGCGGTTCAGAACTCCCTGCCTCCTTTTCCTCCCGTTTCCAAACCCTTTACTCCATCGTGTTTATTGTTGTGGTTATGCACCGTGACCATTCCCCATTTATTGCCTCTTGGCTCCAACTTCTCCCCTCCCAGCCTGCTCTTATGAAAATGGATCTGAGCCCTTTAAATAGTTTTCTTTGCCAGTTGGGCAATGTGAAGCTTGTCAGTAGAGAGGACTGGAGACACTGCAGGAAGAAGCTCTTTCTCCTGGGATCAGAGCAGCTCATTTGCCTGGTGCTTAGAGAATGTATTCCCCCCCCCGCCCCCACCGCCCACTGCTCAGACTAAATGGTTTTCTCCAATGCATAGTGCCTGCCTGGGCAGGTTTCACTGTGGGTTTTTAATAACTCTTGACTCCAGAGCAGTGGTGTACCTGGGAGCCCAGACAGCAAAGCCTTTCCCCCAGAGCTCTGTTTCCTTCAGCAATACTCCTGCAAGGACAGTGCCCTCCAGTCTCCGTGCCCACAGTTCACCATCCCGGCTTCTCTCCGTTCAGTGGGCTGCACCTTATTCCAACCTTATCTCTCCATCTAAATTTGTTCCTCCCTCAGCCTTAGAACGTCCTTTTGAGTTTCAGTCCATCTTTCCTGCTATTTTTTGGTCACTGTTTAATAATTCTCTATATTAAATTCCATTTGTTTAAATTATTGTGTGGCTTCTGTCTCCTGATTGCACACAGACCAACGCATACACGAGCTCGTCTTGACTTCAGTAAACACATGGGGTGCACCTAACTTAACATCACTATAATATTTGACTTATTTAAGAAACTGAATAAACGGTCAGTGTTAGGAATCCATCGTAGACAATTCAACAGGCTCATTGTTCTTCCGAGCAGAAGTCATTACACTCTATACTGATTTGTTGTGGGAAGACTACAAAATATCCTTTCCCCAGTGGGGAAAAAAAACCCTTAGTTTTCACTTTCCTTTTGTGAAAAATTAGAATGCTGTGACAGAAGTCACCAGACTTTAGTACCTGGCAGAATGTAAAAAGAAATATATATTTAAATGACATTTATTTCTTGCTCTAACCTTAGAGAATGTATTTATAGTTACCAAGAAGAGGCACTGGAGAGTCACCAGGAATATATAGATATATCCATACATATTCTCCAAAATCATTGCAGCAGTTTGTACTACTATACACAGTGTACGAAAATTCGTCTTCCCTATGTCCTCACCAATGCCTGACAGTGTCTCTTTTCTGTACGCTGTCGTACATCTCCCTTTTACTTATAATGCACATACTCTCAAGAACACATTGCTGTTCTCCTAACCGTGGGAGAAAGCCAGATACCCTAGAACTTTTCTTGAACCCACGAGAGAGCTGAGACCCCAAGGCCGCCGGATGAACTGAACTCCAAACGGTAAGAGCCTCCGCCAAGGAGAGAGCGGGTCCAGTCCAGGAACACTCCCACCTTTGATCGAATGTGAGAGGAGAACACGGCCACGATAAAAGCAGGTGTGAATAAAACACTTGGAATGTTAATGAATTCCTAAGGGCCGAACGTGGACGGCACAGCTGTTCACAACTCCTGGGAGTCCTGAATCAAGGGCAATGCACACGTATTTGCCAGTTTTTCCCCACAGGCGCCACTTGGTACTCATGAAAAATGAGGGCAAAGCAAGAGGACTGAAAGACCCCAAAGTGGCTCACAGGCCACAAGACATGCCCACTTCTCAGAAGATTTTCTATTAAGAGCAAAAACTGTAAACTTCTTGGGAAAGGATGGCAGTCCCTGCCAGCCCCACGCAGACATCTGCTGCTGCATCTTGGGGAGGAGCTGAAGCAGCAGCCAACTGTCCCTAAGGGGTAATCTGGCAATCCTCCCACTCCCACACCCGCTCCTGTTCCAGGATCGCTTATACTGCTCCTCAGGGGTAGGTAGACGCAAACAGCCATCTTCCCCTAGGGGAGAGGAAAGAAAACTTCCCCCGTGCACGCTGTACACAAAGCCTGCACACTGTGTACAAAGCAACAGCCAGCTACCCCTGAGGGTGGGGTGGGAACCTTTCCAACCCTATTCCTAAGCAAAGATAAGTCGCTGCCGCTGTGTTCTGTTAGGATCCAGCACTCGTACAAAGCAGAGATAGGTTATCACTGAAGGAAGAGAGTGATGCTGCCACATATCCAAGACCTCCCAGCATCTACATGGATAGATCACATGATAAGCCACAAAACAAGTCTTAACAAATTTAAGAAGACTGAAATTATACCAAGTATCACCTCTGACCACAATGGTATGAAACTAGAAATCAACAACAGGAAGAAAGTTGGAAAATTTACAAACATGTGGAAACTAAACAACACATTCCTGACCCACCAAGGAGTCAAAGAAGAAATCAAAAGGGAATTTAAAAAAATCTGAAAACAAACGAAAGTGGAAATACAACATTCCAAACTCTATGGGATGCTGCAAAAACAGTTTTAAAAGGGTAGTTTATAGCTATTAATGCATACATTAAGAAAAAAGAAAGATGTCGAGTAGATAACCTAACTTTATACCTCAAGCTACTAGAAAAAGAAGAACAAAGTCCAAAGTTAGCAGAAGAAAGGAAAGAACAAAGATCAGAGCTGAAATAAATGCAGTAGAGACCAGAAAAACAATAGAAAAGAATCAATAAGACAATTTTAAAAATCAATAAAAGATCAATAAAAAAGAGCCAGCTTTTAACCAAACTGACAAAACTTTAAGTAGACTAAGGAAAAAAGAGATGACTCAAATAAATGAAATGAGAAATGAAAAAGGAGACATTATAAATGACACTACATAAATATAAAGGAACATAAGAGACTACTATAAACAATACATGCCAACAATTGGATAACCTAGAAGAAAAGGATAAATTCCTAGAAACATACAACCTACTGAGACTGAATTGTGAACTAACAGAAAACCTGAACAGACCAATAACAACTAAAGATATTCAAACAGTAATCAAAACTTCCCAACAAAAAAATTCCAAGGCCAGATTATTTCAATGGTAAATTCTACCAAACATTTAAAGAATAATTAATGTCAACAGTTCTCAAATTCTTCCAAAAAATTGAAAAGGAGGTAACACTCCCAATCTCATTGGAATTACCCTGATGCCAAAGTCAGATAAGACCACTACAAGACAACTACAGACCAATATCCCTGATAAATACAGAGGAAAAAGTTCTGAACAAAATATTAGCAAATTGAATTCAACCACACATTAAAAGTATCATAGATCACGACCAAGCGGAATTTGCCTCTGAAATGCAAGGATGGTTCAACATATGCAAACCAATAAATGTGATACACCATGTGAATAGAATGAAAGATAGAAATCAAGTGATCATCTCAATAGATGCAGAAAATTTTGCACTTGACAAAATACAGCATCCTTTCATGATAAAAGTTTTTAGTGAATTAAGTATGAAAGGAACGTAGCTCAACCTAATAAAGGCCATATATGACAAGCCTACAGCTAATGTCATACTCAGTGGTGAAGAGTTGAAAGTTTCCCCTCTAAGATCAAGAATAAGGCAAGACTGCCTATGCTCACCACTCTTACTTGGCATTGTGTTGTCCAATTCTTCACTTCTACTTGTGTCCACACCCTTTGTCCGGCAACTTTGGAGTTCCTTCTATTAAGGCAGACTGTAACTTTGACCAGTAAAGGAGGTGGGAGTTCTGTGCGTAGTCTATGTGCCAGTTCTGAACATAGACCTTATGAGGCTTTGAGCATATCTGCTTGCTCCTGTGGTTCTGTCATTGCTGTAACAGCAGACCTGGGTTAGCCTCTGGAGGATGAAACGCATATGAAACGGAGCTGAGTCATCTCAGTCATCTCAGTTTAGAATAGCCTGCATCCCAGAGATATGAGCAAGTCTAACCAAGATGAGCAAAACCTCCTGGGATCACTTGAGGCATCCCAGCTATAAATGCTTATTGTGGTGTGTTGTTCATTGCCTTTTTTTTTTTTTTTTGCTATGTAATGTAAAGGCAGCAATAGACCACAGATACGCTACTTGATCGCCTACTGAGCTTTTACAATATTCATTTTTTGGTGGTTTAGTGACTTTTTATTTTTGATTTCCAGCTTAGTCATGTTGTGGTCAGAAGAAGTACTTGCTCTGTAAGACATTGCTTCTTTGAAATTCCTGGTGATTTCTTTGGCGGTACAGTATATTTTAATATTTAAAATATTCCATGTGTGCTTGAAATAAATGTATATCACCTTTTAAGTTGTTTTGTATATACCTATTCAATCTTCTTAATTGTGTTTTTGAATCTTCAGCATCCTTTCTAATGTTATATTTACATGACCAATCATTTCACAATATAATTCTATTAAAAATTTCCACACTAATAATGGTTTGCCAATTTCTTACTACATCACTTTTTCATTTTTATCACATGCGTCTAAAGGCTAAGTGGGTAGGTACATAAAACACGGCTCTATTGCTCATGTTTTAATGACAGCTTGCTTCTATGTCTGATAATAGCATGGAGACACGAGATTTCTTTGGCTTCATATTTGCCTAATGTAGCTCTAGCCATTCCTTTATTTTCAACCTTTTACCGAATTTTTTGGTTCGATTCATGTATGGAAAATTCAGGGTCGATTTACTTTTAAAATCCCAACTGATAGATACCATATTTTTAAGAGGTAAATGTAATCATATATAAATGTTCATTTTGGATGATTGTGTCTTATTCTTACCTTAAACCTGCTTTTTCTTTGCTTGTAGTTTGTCCATAGTCTTACCTTCTATTGAACTTCTTTCCTGTCCCAAAGATATAAATCATATTTATATTTCTTTAATGGCCACTCTTAAATTTTGGGCTCCCCAGGGGACTCTTTCTTTTTTTTTTTAAGAAACTTATCATCTGTTAGCCCTCTCTTCTTATAAACAAAAACTTTTTAGATATTTTATCTCTCTGATGAATTCCAACCCTGCCCATTCTGGTTATTATTATTTAGAAGTTTGGTTTAATCGTAAAGAAGATTTACTTTGCCACCTATAGTTAGATTCGCCAGTGGATTATGCAGGTGAACTATGGGGAGGCTGTAATACATTTGAGCTTGTGTTTGAGATGGCAGGTAGAAACTCCACCTGAACTAGGCTTTAGCTGGATTAAGAACCCAGGATCCTCTGCCTTGAGTGCAGGCTACTTCACTGTGAAAATATCCCAAGAACTCTACCTAAAATTGCCTGCAGAGAGCAGCATTATTCTTCCATAGATACTGCACCACCAACCAGAGGGCCATGTGTACAGTGGCACAGCGGTAGACCACATCCTTCCCCTGGTAGAAGCAACAAATCACAGGGTTAGCACAGTCAACCTTGAGCAAGGATTGTGTGGTGGGGGCGTGTGTGTGTGTGTGTGTGGTGGTGGTGGTGGTTGTGGTGGTGGCGGTGATCAGGCAGATGAATTTATGCATATATTTTATTGCAGCAAAATATCTCAGTGCATAATAATCCTACTGCATCTTTCTACAGTCCTGATCAACCAGTACTACACAAATATGATTTGCTGAGCCTCTCCCGAAAACTGTGGGACTTGAGTGCTCTCAAAAGGTCTCCACTGCAGGAGGAAACAGTGTATCTAAGCTGAATTATAGAAAGTGAAGAGATTCTGGAACAGTCATCAGTTTTCTGGGAAACATGCCAGGGATGTGACTGGAAAGAGTGGGTCAAGACTTCTGAGCACAGAGCCAGCAGCTCTACCTTGAATGCGTCCCTTAAGTCCTGAATTTGGACCAAGCGGTCTGCTCCCTCTGTGTGTATGTCATGTTGGCTGGGGACAGAAACCACATGGCTGCCACCAACTCACCCACAGCGATAGGGAGGGCGTGTGCCCCTGGCTTGACACTCTCATCCCATTCATGGAACTGGATGACACCCAGGGCTTTGCTGTCCCCTAGAAACCAAGCTCCGGTAAGAGGAGCAGGGGCCAGTCCCAGCGGGAGGCATATTAGCCAAGGCAGCCCCAGGGCACCTTCCCAGAGGGAGGACCTACACGTGGCCGCGACAAGTGCGGCCGCAGCAGGCTGAGTACAGAAGTGAGAGGGCCTGCGCAGCGGCCGCTGGAGGGAGGAAGCCGGGTCCCAGATAAAAGCATTAGGTCAAGGGGCCAGTGAGAAGGAACTGAGGAGCCTGAGAAGCTGTTCCTGGTGCAGAGAACTCTGTGTAGAAGCTTTTAAGGGGACTGAGCAGGGCTGCACAGGAGGGTGAGCTGGCCGAGAGGGTGATCTCACTGCGGAATCAGCCACGGCGCAGCAAAGCGTGGACACTCCTGTTGGCTCCAACTCCTTAGACCTCTTCCATTGTAAATGAATATTGCTTACTTAATTTTTCCCCAGTTCATGTACGTGCTGGAGTTCATCAAAAGACTAGCAACCACTAGAATCCCCCATTAGACATGAAGTAGATAGTTTCAAATTGTAATGACTGATTTTTCTCCTCTCACGTGGGTGTTAAATTCAGAGCAACGTGCTTACACTATAGGAGCATGAAAGTTCTGTTTCCTGCAAATAATGTGTATGTGAAATAATATTATGATAAGGAAAAGCTATATATTTCATGCTCTGATTCAATACATGGTGTGCAGAGTTAAAAATCCTGGAAAGCATCTTATGTTTCTAAAATTCTTACAGCCCGAGAGTGAGAGATAGAGACAATAAAAATATTTGTTGTAAATTCTTTTGATAAATAGGCTCAAAGTCAGAAAAACTTTAACCAGAATTCCCTTAAATTGTTGTAGAATAAAAGTAAATAATTTTAACTTCAAAAACAATCCAGGTTCTCAATTCTCAAGATTCTTATTTCTCCACAAGCAAATTGTTAGCAAATTTCCACACTCAAGTTTCTGACTTAAAAACCGGTTGCATAATTTTTTTAAAACTTATGTTTTAACTCAATGTTTTCATCTTTATAATATTAAACACCAGATATCCAAAAGCATCAAAAATAGCCCCTTCATTTTCAAAACAATTTCTCCACAGATGGTTGGCATTCACTTCTTAAAGTCTTATCGTTTTGCGATTAAAAAGAAAAAGAAAACCCCGAAACGAAACACATAAAACAAAAACAGAAAAAAAAAATCACAATGAACTTACTTTTCAGAAATTTGAAGCAAGGAATCTGGAAGCTTAGTTTATCCACTGGTCTCCTTATTTAGAAGAAAATAATTCACTTTTTTCCCCTCTGGTTTCTACCACATCTCTAGAATGTGCTTAAACTGTTTGACTTCTGTGAAAATTTCCTCTGAAGCCTGCTCTCCGAAGACAAGTTAACGATCTCAGTTCTGTTGGTCCTGCCAAACATCACGTCCACGTGATCACTCTTGTTTTTCTTTGACATCAAGCCAGTTCCTGCTGAACAGTAGCATTTGAACTTGGTTGCCTGGAGGAAAGAGCAATCTTGCAGAGGAAGTCCAATACTCATAAACTTTTCTGTATTATGCCCCCAATGATCCGGCTAATATCAAAATTTAAAGCATTGTCTTTAAACCGTGAGAAAGAAAACGGTTTCATCAGAAAAAAGCTCTTTTCTCTCCTGAGATCTCTAGACTTGCCTGCTTGGCATTATCACCTGGATAATCAGGATTTTCATTCCTCCCTTTCTCATTTTCATTCAGTTCAGAATATTTTCTGATCTCCCATGAGACTTCCTCTTTGACCCATGAATCATTTAGAAGTGCGTTGTTTAATTTCCAAGAGGTCCAGAGCTTTTCCTGTTATCTTTTGGTGACTGGTTTCTAGTTTAATTCTGTTATGGTTAGAAAATGTACTTCGAACCTCAAGCTGTTAAGACTTGTTTTATGACCCAGGACATAATCGCTTTTGGTGAATATTTCACATGCATTTGAAAAGAGGTATTTCTGGAGTGAATGGACTATTGTATAAACACCTGCTCGATCCAGCTGGTTGGTGCTGTTGGTCATTTCCCTTGTCTACTGGTCTACTATTTTCTGTCTACTGGTTCTGTTGATTATTGAGAGAGGAGTATTATAGATTTTAATAAAAATGAGAGGGTTTTTTTCATGTAATTTTGCCTCGTGTGATTTGTAGTTTGTGGTGATAGGCGCATACACATTTAGGATTGTCATGTCTTCTTGGTGAACTGGTGAACTGGCCTTTTTATCACTAGGTACTGCCCATCTTTGTCTTTGGTAACTTTCTGTGCTCTGAAGAACTGCTCTGTCTGATATTAATACAGCCATTTCTACTTTCTTTTGGTTAGTATCGTCATGGTATTTCTTCCATTCTTTGATTTTCAACTGTATCAGTATGCCCGTATCACTACATTTGAAGGGATCTTTTAGACAGCATTTGCTGTTTTAAATCCACCTGGCAAACATGTCTTTTAATCAGTGTGTCTAGCCCAGTTACATTTAATGTAACTATTGATATTTTTGGATTCAGATCTGTTGTTTGCTATTTGTTTTCTGGTTTTTTTCCCCTCTGGTTTTCATTCTTCTCTTTTCCATTTTCTGACACCTTTTGCTAAACGTTATTTGAACATGTTTTATTTTATTTTTGAACATGTTTTAGTAGTCTACTTTAATCTGCCCATTGTGTTCTGAAACTATACATGTTTGTATAGCTATTTTGGTGATTGCTCTAGGGATTACAGAAGACACACTTAACTTTGTACCATCTGTTAGATGCATATTTTACCACTGTAAGTGGAATATAAGAAACTCACCATCATGTAGGGGCAAAACAGCAGGTAGCCAACGGAGCACTGCGTAACAGCTACAACCACAAAGAGTCAAAACTGGGGCAAGGGCAGTCACCATCATGCCAATAAAAAGTTACTATCCCTTGGTTAGTTCCCAGTCCTTATGCAAAGGAACCGACAGCCATTACAGCCATTTACTTGGATGACTGTGCACTGGAGCAAGAGAAACCCTCAGACATTTCAAGGGCTACTGGGCACAGGACATAAGTGGGCACTGATAACTGGAAAACCAGAGTGTCACTATGGCCCCACTGTTACAATGGGGCGTATGGAGCCATGGCAATAAATGGAGTTCTGGTTAAAGTTCAGCTTTATGTGATCCCCCTGGGTCTACAACTCACCCAGCAGTCATTTTTCTATCACCAAGTATATTATTAGAATTGATCTATTTGGTGGTCGGAATAACCCCCACACTGGGTCCTAGGCCTGTGGGTTAAGATCTCGCATAATGGGGAAGGAAAAGTGAACGGCCTCTGGCAGTTCCCTGAGTCCCACCGCAAGCTGAGACAGGCTGTCAAGAACAACACTGCATCCTGACGAGGGAGAAAGTGGAGACCATTGAGGTCATAGAGGACACAAAGAGAGTGGTACCTAGCAATCTCCATTTAATTGGCCAGTCTCCGCCCTCATCCTGGAGAACAGCCAGACGGTTATGAGCTAAAACGGGTGGTGGTTCCGGCCACAGCTGCTATGTCAGGCACGATGTCTGAACCCAGAGCACGTCCACGATATTCAGCCAGTGGTTAGTCAGACGTCTTCTTTCTTATTCTGCTTAGAAAAGAGTATCAAAAAGAGTCTCAGGGGAGTCACACAATAAAAACCTTTCTTTAGTTGATAGCCTCAAGTCTATGTGAACTCTCCTTCCTCTGTTCTAGTCTTAAGAGATCTGGACCACCTGGACATCTCACAAAACATTGCACTGATACATCAGTGACACCACGCTGATCAATCAAGGATAAGGGAGAGATGACTAGCACACTGGTGACCATGGCAAGACACACATGTTCCAGAGAGCGGGAGTTAAGCTCTGTGAAGATTTGGGAACCCGCCCCTGCAGGGAAGGCGTTATGGGTCTAGTGGTAACGTGGGCTCGGTGTGTCTCCTCCAAAGTAAAAGACAGCTGTGCATCTTGCATCCCTCCCAGTAGGAAGCGAGGACCATGCCTGGTAAGGCCCCCGGGTTCTGGAGGCCACACAGTCAACACCTAACAACACCGCTCCAGCCCGGAGACGGCCTAACAGGGAAGGCTGCCGCCTCTGAGCGCAGCCGCGAGTAGAAAGGGCTTTTGCAGCAGGTCCAGAATGTGCCGCAGTCTTGCTACTTATTGGAGGTATCAATGGGGAAAATTCTGTTAAAACGAGAGGATTTTTGTCCTTGAACAACAGACCAGAGACTTCCCAGACTCTTTACCAATGAGGTTTTCAGGAATTATTTAAAAAGCACTCCGAGCCATCAACTTCACACATTGTATGGTGCTACTCATGGCATCCTGCATCTGTGGATAACTTGTGCAAAGGGCTTTACAGTTTCCAAAAGCTCCCATCTGCAGTTTCTCATTTGAATCCCATTCAACTTAGCAGGACAGTAGATCCAGTTGGGTTATGGGATTGACTCTCAGCCACAGAGCTGGAAAGAAGCCAGTCCAGTCTCAGATGCCCTGGGATTCCAAATTCAACGCTCTTTCCCATATAACCCAACGGTCTAGCTTCCTGTATCAGCAAATAGGTAGTTGAGGATTGTACTCCAAATTGATCACCTGTTTTATGTTTTTTTGGTCTTAGTTTTAGTTTTATTTTTATCATAAACCTGCCAGGGGTCCAGGAAATAACTAGAATGAGTATTTAATTTTTGGCAGATAGGATACAATAAGGGCATCCTCCAACATTGGCATAAGTGAGAGTAGTGATGCTTTTAAAGTTCAGTACCTGTACATTTACCAGTCTGAACCGCTGTCAAAGAGACTGATCCATCAGGCTATCTATCAGCTAGCTAGCTATCCACCCTCCCACCCGCCCATCCACCTCTGTCTCTCTAGCCGTTACGTACCTCTCTTGGCTATGAGTAGGTCATCTTCTCAATCAGTGCCATCGCTGACTTCACTTCAGCACTTGCTCTGCTTTTGGCATGAAGTCTCATGTCAGCACTCCTGTGCAAAGTTACGTCACGAGTTCCACAATTGTTTATACCAAATGATTGGTATCATTACTAAATATTAAAACTACAAAAGTAATTCCCTTACAAAACAGCAGAGGCTTAAACAGAATCGTAGGGTATTTGAGCTTTAGGGTTCTGCTGGGAGCTTCCACTGCACTGAAGGATCACGTACCT